CTAACAGTTACATTCTATGAAACAAACTATCCATGAATTTCACATTGTGTTTCTGCAAGAGAATAAACATATTTTAATATTTTAAAAAGATTTTTATGTATTTTTACAAAGTCAGATACACAGAGAAGAGGAGAGACAGAGAGGAAGATCTTCCATCCGATGATTCACTCCCCAAGTGACCACAACGGCCGATGCTATGCCGATCTGAAGCCGGGAACCAGGAACTTCCTCCAGGTCTCCCACATGGGTGCAGGGTCCCAAGGCTTTGGGCCGTCCTTGACTGCTTTCCCGGGCCACAGGCAGGGAGCTGGATGGGAAGTGGAGCAGCTGGAACACGAAGCAGGATGTACAACTCTGCATGTGGAGGATTAGTCCCCTTAACCTGATTTTCAAAGAACTTTTTCAGACATCCTTATATTTTCTTTCTTTTTAAAGATTTATCTATTTGAAAGGCAGAGCTACAGAGAAGGGGAAGGAGAACACTTTGCTGTTTTATTCCCCAAATGGCACAATGGTTGGGACTGGGTGAAGCCGAGAGCTAGGAACTCCGTGTGGGTCTCCTACATGGGTGCAAGGACCAAGGACTCGGGCCATCTTCTGCTGCTTTCCCAGGAGCGTTAGCAGGGAGCTGGATCAGAGGTAAAGCAGTTGGAACATGAACTAGAACCCATATGGGATGCTGATGTTGAATGCAGCAACTTAGCCGCTTTGTCACAGTGCCAACCCTGTCTTGCTGCATTCTAGTTCAGATTCCCTATTAAAATATGGCTTTATGCATGTCACTCCAGGACATGAAGATCTTCAATGTCTCCCTGTCAACCTCAGGTAAAACTCAAATGGTCCCCCAACCTAATAGCTCTGTCACTGACACAGCAAGTGAACCAGTTAGAATAATGCCTCCTGCACCTGCCTTGGGGCTCAATCCCCCCTGACAACTGTGGGTGTGTCAGGTTACACAGTGAGGGAGAGGAAGGCTGCCAGTAAGCCAGGCTTTAAATAAGGGCATTGTCCTGCAGTAACCGTAGACGGGCTTGATGCAAGAGTCCACAAGAGAAGAGTATCGTGGCCAGAGAGGCTTTGCGAGATGGACAAGGCCAGCTGGCTTTGAAGACAGAGTGGGGAGGGCCACAAGCCAACGGTGTCACAGCTGCCAGAGCTGGAGAAGCCCAGGCAGCAGGGTCCTGGCGACACAACGGGATCTTAGCAGAGTGGGGTCATGGTGACCTGGGAGCTGCAGGGCTTCCTGATAACGTGCCTGAGGTGGGGAAGCCACCAGGATTTGGCTGGCTGATGCAGCTGCAATAAAACCACAGTGCAGGGGTGTGTCTGGGCTGCCTCTTCAGGCTTCATTTTTAGAGGAAGATATACTATGTGAACATTTGAAAAAATAGATCTAACTATGTGTTTGCAAGAGTTACAGCCAAAGGTCTGTTTTTTTAGTTGTACCTCTGTTTATTATTATCATTTATGATACAGTTCCATAGGCCCTGGGACCTCCTTTACCTTCTCCCTAACTCCCTCCCCATCACCAGGTTCCCCTATATCATTACTGTAGTATGGGTCTTCATACACAATCATATGTCCATCATTGCAGGCATGGACAATGGCAGAGAATCCAGCATCCTAAGGTCAAGATACAGTAAACCGTCTCATTGGGAGTTCATCTTTGTCTGGAAGTAGAGATGCATACTGCATTGTATCTTCATGTCTGGATATGATAGTCTCCATTACACAGTTACTATACATTCCCTTAAAAGCCAAAATATAAAATCAACAACAGGAAGAGAAATAAATTCACAATGCCATGAAGTTAAACAACATGCTACTGAATGACTAATGTGTCACTGAAGAAATGAAAAAAAAATCAAGAATCTTCTTGAGGAAAATGAATGCTACTGTATTATCTGAGTCATTGGAGAATTTAATCAGAAGAAAGTGTTTTAAAGAGGTGAAACTAACAAAACACATCAAAATCCATGAGATACAGTTTCCACTGATCTTTGTTGGTGAAATATGTCTCCTGTAGGCAACAAATAAGTGGGTTTTGTGTTTTTAATTCAGTCTACTAATCTATGATGCTTGGTTCATGAGTTTAAGCCATTTATATTCAGGGTTAATTTGAATGCATGGTAATTTGGTCCTGCCATTTTAGCAATGAGTTGTTCATTGTTTAGTTTTGTTAATTTACTGGGATCATCTTCACATTTGTCTTTGGTTTTGGTGGGTGCTATTCTTTTACTCTGTTAAGAGAACATCTTTAAGTATCATTTGTAGTGTGGGTTTGAAAGAGGCATGTTCTTTTAACTTTTCTTTACTATGGAAGTTTTATTTCATTTTCAAACACAAAGGAAAGCTTTGTCGGGCTGACAGTATTTTGCTTTTAGAATCTGGAATATGTCGTTCCATTCTCTTCTGGCCTGTAGAGTTTCCTGTGAGAGGTCTCCTGTGAGTTTAATTGACATTCCTTTAAATGTCAGTTGATTTTTCTTTCACCTGCTTATTTAAAGATCTTTTCCTTATGTTCAATTGAAGAGAGCTTGGTTATCATGTGTCATGGTGAAGACCACTTTTGATCAACCCTTTTGGGAGTTCTGTGCCCCTCCTGGATGTTGTTTTTCAGTTCTTTCTCTAGATAGGGAAGTTTTCCTTATTTCATTGAATACACCTTTAATCCTAGTTTCTCTTTCTGCATCTTTTGGGATTCCCATAACTCTTATATTTGGCCTTTTAATAGTGTCTTCCAATTCTTGGATACTTTCTTCAGCCTGATCCAGTTCTGCTTCTAGCTTTTTGTTTGTTTTCCCCTGGTGACAGTAAGTATCTTCCAATTCTGAGATTATTTCTTCTGCCTCCTTCATTCTATTTTGGAGACTCTCTACTGTACTTTTAGTTTGTTCCACTCTATCCTTCACTTCTGATATATCAGCTTTTATTTGATTCATTTCCTGTGTGACATATTCCTTAATTTCCTTGAATGCCTGCTTTACACGCTTCTTGTTGTTTTTAAGAAGTTTTATAACAAGTGTTTGGAATTCTGTATCCTCCATTTTCTTGATGTCTTGCTCAGGTAACTCTAAGTTTGGCAAAGGGCTTTTTTCCTTTGCAGGGGAGTCTTCAGTAATATTCATCGTGCCTCTGTCTCTTCTTTTGCTCTTGATCATTGTACTTCTATTTAACAGATTCTTCTCCTTGGGGCAGGTTTCTAAGCTCTGTCACCCACAGGTCTACAGTTCGATTTTACTTATTGCATTTGGTACATGGCTCTTTGTTTGCAGTCACTTGTGCCATTCCCTCCAACAAGTTCCAGGTCTGGGTTCTTAGATTCCCACCATGGTCTTCGTAGCCCCTGCTCCTGGCTCACCAGTCTCTACCTCCTGTGATACCATGCTGAGGCTGCACCATTGTCTGTGCAACCTTTCTTCCACGTCTGCTTGGAGCAGTTCCAGATTAGGGAGACACCAGATGTCCTATATAGCTAGGTTGTTGGTGGTGCTGATCTTGGTGGAACTTGTTGGCTGTTAGGTCTGAAAGCCACATGGACCCATTTTGACCCATATGGTGCCAATGTCATATGATTTTCCTGTGGGACCAGTGCAATGCACTGAGTTCAGCAAGAACTCACTGAGCTCAGTGCATGCACAGCTCACTGTTGTCCCTGCAGCCTTAAATTCTTTGCCACACTGTACAAAATGGTGCCTGAAGTGCCACTACTAGAGTTCTTGGTCTGCTGGCTGTCAGGTCTGAGGGCTACCCGAACCTATCTTGGGTAGAACCTGTAGGATGCCATGTCATTGCAATTCACTGAGCCAGAAATGATGTCACTCCCAGCTCAGAGCATGCACAGTACTTCTCTAGCCCTTGCCTCCTTAAACAAAATGGTGCCTGATACGGCTTTAGGGGGTGGACTGGGCTGTGCAATCTACCTTGTTCCCACACTGCCCGTCTGGGAACTGCCGCTCTGTCTCTGCTCCTGGTCAAATCAAACAAACCAACTGGATGGGCAGTTCTTTGTCTGGGTTCACCTCCTGAGCTCCCGGTAGACGTCCTTTCCCTCCTGGTTGCTGGCTGCCAGTGGAGTTTAGATTGTGGCTTGCTGAATGCTGCTGGGGTGTCAATCACGGCAATACCACACTGTTGTTTTCACTGCTTCCCCGTGTCTGTCAGTGTCCAGGTGCCCCTCTGCTGTTGTTCTGTCCTCTCCTATTTCCTGGAATGTGCCCTCTCTGCTTCACACATTTGCTAATATATCTCCATATGTTTAAACATGTTCTTACCCTATTTCGGCATCTTGATTTTCTCTTGTCAGAGGTCTTTCATATGCTGGTTCACTCCCCAGATGGCTACAATGGCCAGAGCTGGGCCGGGCTGAAGCCAGGGGTAGGAGCTTCATCTGGGTCTCTCTTGGGTGCAGGGACCCCAACACTGGGGCTATCCTCTGCTCTTCCCAGGCCCTTATCAGGGAGCTAGAAGGAAGTGGAGCAGCTGGAACACAAACCCACACTGCAGATAACCACCTGAGCTAACAAGCTTTGAAGGCTGTTGTTTTGATGAAATACAATGTCTACACATCTGCCCTGTCCCTTAGGATGTTGGCCCTGAGTTAGAGCACTTGCTGCAGCCACTCTGCCCTCCAGGTCTTGTCATTTCCAAACAGAACCCTCAGTCTATCCTGTGGTTGGGGCTGTACAGAACAACCCAGATCTTACCTGTGAAGTCCTGTTCACCCTGGAAGGCCAGCCTCATGTCCCCTCATCAGACCCATCTCCCACGTACCCTCTCTAAAGCTCCTCAGCCCCTAGACTAATGCCAGTGCTGTTAGTCCTGAGGCCAAGGCAGGAGCGAGAAGGGCAAGACACCAGGGCTGCTTGCTCTCAGGCCTATGCCAGCAGCTCCCATCCTGCACCCTCGCCTTGTCCCGATGTGTGAGTGCAGAGAGCCTGAGTGCCTGGCTGCTGGGTGGCAGAGCAGGCAAGCCTGTATTCTTACTCTGTCATACACAGGTCCTTAGAACAGAGCTGGCCCCTGGCTGATGCAGTGGATGAACACTCAGGCTCATCTCTGATTACTGGAGCGGCGATGATGGGGGGGCTGTGCCTTCAGCAGGTGTGTACATGCGTCTGCAGGTCTCAGCGCACCTGAGCGGCTCCAAGATCCCCCGACTGGGCGTGACCCCACCCTGCTTATGTCCCGTCATTAAGGCAACAATGGCACCTGGGTGTCCTGAGCTGCTGACCCCCCTTAGGATTAGCAATGAAGCTTCAAGCTCTACAGGGGTCCCAGGCACCTCTTTGGAGAGTTCAGGTCTCCTCTGTGAGCAGGGCGAGGGTAGGGACACAGGGAGGCCCTAAAGCTGGAGGGGATGCTCAAAGTCACAGGCTGTCAGCCTGTCGCCAGAGCACCCTGCTCGTGTGCCGTGGGTTCACTGGAATGCAGATTTACTTTAATAAATCATATTACCTCCACGTCCAGGTGAATTATCTTTCAAAACAGAAACATGAGTATTTCTGGGATTCCTATTTCATATGTGCATGGAAGTCCATGCAAGGTTAAAAAGTGGCTTTTAAGCGATACAGCGACGGCTGAGATGGCTATTTTTGGTCTTGAGAATTGCGTTTGTTCCAGAAATGTCGAGTGAGGAAGTCAGAGTGTCTGTTCCTGCTGGACTGGAAAGAATTGCTTGGGGGCTCGAGCCCCTGTGCCCGGCGACAGGACAGAAATGACAGCTTGGGGTCCTCGTGAGTACAGCAAGCAGGTGCCATGGATGGCCAGGCATCCACCTGTGCTGAGCCTCTTATAGTGCAATTCAGACAGCTCCGCGAAGGCGTGTGGGGAAACCAGGTGCCTGGACAGCCCGGCGAGGTCAGAGCTTGCTCTGAGCACAGAGCAGCAGCGCCTGTTAGTGGGTGGCAGCTAGTGTGTCAGGCCTTGATAACAGCAGTGGTGACGTGGGTGTGTCTGCAATCTGGAGAGCCGATTGCTAGCAAACCAGGATTGTCCTGTCCTGTTGCTAACATCAAGTTGCCATCGGACTGAAGGGCCTGAGTCCCTCCCAGTCGGGTTCTCCCCAGCTTGCAGGCTCCCAGAGGTTGCTGTTCACACCTCTTTGCACACGTGCTGCCAACAATGTTTTTTGTTTCGTTTGGAAATTGATTCTTTCTTTTTCTGTTTCGAATAAAATTAAGACAGACTAAGAGAACTGTCCATCGGTGCTGAACTTCCCAGATGCTCACCACACCTGGGCTTGCCCCAAAGCCAGTCAGGAGCCAGGACCTCCATCTGGCTCTCCAGCTGGTTGGCGGGGACCAAGTGCTTGAGCAGTCACCTGCTGTCTTCAGGGTGTGCACCAGCAGGGTGTGATGTGGGATGCAGGCTGCTTCTGCAGTCCTAGCCGCTGCTCTGAGTGCCTGCACCACAGAGATTCTGGACCGCCTCCTGTCCTCCCAACACTGACATCTCACACCTGTTCCTCTGCACAAAACCCCTTCAATGATGCCATGGATCCCAGAGGAACCTGCAATTCACTAAAAAATAACACAGAACAGGAAGAAAGCTACAATTGAGTATTAGAATTTCTGGTTTACTGCTAAGATGGAGAGGTGTGGAAAGAGTGACTCCCACTAAGAACCAAAACCGACAAAAGCACCCATATTTGAAAAAGGTTGAGGTTAGCCAGCTTAAGTTAGTGTGCTTGCTTGTTGCCCTGTGTGTGCTGTGGGTGTGTCAGTCTCCCTGTGTGTCGTCGTGGGTGTGGTCAGTCTCCCTGTGTTGTGGGTGTGGTCAGTCTCCCTGTGTGTGCTGTGGGTGTGGTCAGTCTCCCTGTGTGTCATGGGTGTGGTCAGTCTCCCTGTGTGTGCATGGGTATGGTCAGTCTCCCTGTGTGTTGTGGGTGTCGTCAGTCCCTGTGCTGTGGGTGTGGTCAGTCTCCCTGTGTGTGTGTGTTGTGGGTGTGGTCAGTCTTGTCCCTGTGTGTTGTGGGTGTGGTCAGTCTTGTCCCTGTGTGCATGGGTGTGGTCAGTCTCCCTGTGTGTGCGTGGGTGTGGTCAGTCTCCCTGTGTGTACTGAGGTCAGTCTCCCTGTGTGTTGTGGGTGTGGTCAGTCTCCCTGTGTGCATGGGTGTGGTCAGTCTCCCTGTGTGTTGTGGGTGTGGTCAGTCTCCCTGTGTGCATGGGTGTGGTCAGTCTCCCTGTGTGTTGTGGGTGTGTCAGTCTCCCTGTGTGTTGTGGGTGTGGTCATCTTGCTCCCTTGTCTAGCTTATTTTGCAGGTGATGCAGTTGAGTCAGCTTGATCTACCTGATTTGCTTGTTCAGCCTTTGTGCGGCAGCGTCCCCAAGAGCCGCCTGAGCCACAGCACTTGTTATCTGCTGTGTTTATGTCCCCTTGGGACAGCATGGTGGGTCTCTTACTCAGTAATGGCACCCCAGTCCACAACCCTCTGAGCTCTGTGAAGAACAATGTTGGTACAGGCTGTGATACATGAGTACAAACTAAAGTGTGAGTCATGGGAGGGGTGAGAGGTGAAGGTGGCTCTGGGTGAGGACGGTGCCAGGCTGGACACGGTGACTGGGGGCGTGGATGGTCCCTGCTGACAGCCTCCTAGTGAGCAATGGGTCAAAACGCGCACTGACAGCTGAGCCCATGGGGTCAGTGCTTCCTGGAGACCATCGCCACTGCAGCCATTTGATAGCTAAATTCACTGGATATCGGACATGGACTCAAATTTGGCATGTTCATGAATAGGACCAGCAGCCTGAGTGTGAAGTAGCTGAGGACACATGGCACCGTCTCTGTGACCCCGTTGTCCTTGTAGGACTTGAATACAGGAGACAACTGGGCAGACTTTGGAATGTAGAGAAGACGTGTGTGGCAGCTGGTGTGGGCTTTTAAAAGAAAAACACAGTGTCCCCAGAAACAAAAGGACAAGGAGGCTATTCTGAATTGAACTGGAAAGACATCACAACCCTTACAAGGCTGAAACCACAACTGGAGCCTGCATCAGGGACAATAAGCCCCTTGGAATGGACATTTTGCCATCAAGTAGAAAATTCATGATTCTCCAGAGGAAGAAAGGAGAGATGCAGCCCTAGAATGGAAAAGAGCACATATGTTCCATCTGAGGAAGGAGAGGGGAGAGAGGGGAGACATGCAGTTATGGAGGGAGAGAGAGGGGAGACCACGCAGTATGGGGAGGGAGAGAGAGGGGAGACCACGCAGTTATGGGGAGGGAGAGAGAGGGGAGACCACGCAGTTATGGGGAGGGAGAGAGAGGGGAGACATGCAGTTTGGGGAGGCAAAGGGAGACCATGCAGTTGTGGGGTTGGCAGTCCAGGATCTATAGTCTATAGGGGGTGGCATGCTGGAATCCAGGTTGCATTGATTGTTTCTGTTCAAAGGCACGTTGCTGGCAGAACGGCCTCTTTGGATCAGCTCAGTCTTTATCTTCCTTTGTCTTGTTTGGGAATATTTTAGTCATTTACTATTATTTTACTTGAGAAGCAGAGAGAGGCACAGATGGTTCTCCTACCTGTGGGTTTGCTCCTCAAATGCTAGGGTTGGGTCAGGTGAAAGATGGATCTTTCTTCCTTAACATTGCCTTTCAAACAAATAATTTTTTAAAAAGTTCGTTCTTATCCACTGGTGCTCAAGAATGTTATTCACAGTGTTTGCCAGGGTTTCACCAGCTGTGAGCATCTCCACACTGAGTAAGCAAGGCCAATGCTATGACCATGGAAGGACCCGGGCCTGACTCTTCTCCAACTCGGCCCACTCTGGGGAGGCTGGAAAGAAGTATAGTTCCCGACATGCTGAGGAGGAAGCCGCGGGTGAATGCAGCAAAGGCTACACAGAGACGCAGTGCTGGCTGTGTGCTCACCAGCAAGCTCACTAGTTGCATATTTCAGAGTCCAGTCACCTGTGTCACTGCCCACCCAAGCAACAAGGTCCAACAGTTGCCACAAGAGGATACCCTGCAGAAGCCACAGCAGCTGTGTGCACTCCAGAGGCTCCAGGGAGTCCAGGCCTGCAGCAGCAAGCGACAGCTACTGAGCCCCTTGGACTTTGCCAACACCATCCAAATTCCTGCGTGCAGAATCCCAGGCACGTCACCAGTGTTCACTGGGGTTGGGCATCAGCAGAGCAAGACTAAGTGCACCTCTGGCCCAGCCACAGATTCGTCCGTGTTCGTTCCCCTGGTGGGTGTTGGTCTGTCCCAGGGGCTCGCCAGGCAGCAGGTGACTCCTGAAGATATCCAGCGGCAGGCCTGGAAGGTGAAGAAGGCAAGGAGGAGGCTGGCCCAGGCCTTGGAGGCAGACAGGATCATGAGGGAAGAAGAGTGTGCTGCAAGGAGACCACATGGAAAGCCAGCTACCTAGAGGAGGAGGAGCCAGGTGGTATGGACCTTTCCATGTTGCATGTATGATTATCTGGTGTCTGGGAACATCTTCTCCCTTTGACACAGATGCACACTCTGAGCATGGCCGCATCATCATGTGCAGTGTGGGCTCAATCGTTGCCTTCTGTTGTGCTGTGGGATACCTGAACACCTTGGCCTTTGTAAACTTCGCTGTGGTTTTCTTTCTCAGGAACCGGTCTAACACACTGAATGAAGGCAAGTTCCTGAGGTTTTCAGTATGCTGGTGTTCTGCAGTGTCTGGGTGACCTTCCTCCCCGCCTACCACAACACCAAGGGGAAGGTCATGATAGCCAGATTACAAAAACACAAACCACCAAAAAATGATACACTTGCATTTTGCACCGATCAACGGACAGACCGTGCTTTCAAATAACAGGAAACAAAGAGGAAATAGTAAAACTGAAGACTGAGACATAGACTAGTCCAAGTAACTAAACAAGCATTTGAAAAGCCCTGCGGATGTGGACAGATTACGTCCAGTTAATACAGGAAACCTGAACTGATTAAAAACAATACTGCAGCAGTAACGAGAACTCCCATCAGAGAAACGTTCACTGCTAGATTCTACAGATCATTTAAAGTAGGAATAAGTCTAATGCTTGTGTAATTAACCCAAAATATTGGAGTACATGGAATTAAGCCAAACTCTCTGAATGAGGCCAGCAGAGACACAACACAAAAAGAAGACCTGCTC